AAACAAGAGTTTCAAGTGGACTGAACCAAACTCACAAAGAACATTTAGATCTTCAAGGGATGTGGCTGCTTTTTTGGAGAGTCAGCCTTCCTTGGAAGGTCAGGCTTTCAGTGAAAGCGATCCCGAGTATGAGCCTGCAAGCGACGACTGCCGAAGCTCTCCGTTGAAGAGTAATCCTGGTAGTGAACATGAAGTTGAAGTCAATCCTAAAAGGTACGGAACTGTAGCTAAATATAAGCTATAGGTCAATTTTCCATGCATTAAATATGTATCATTTGTAATTAATTGAAATTTTTGTGATAGATCWAAAGTGGACACGACTATTCAAGCTGTCAAGCTTCCCASAAAGTAYCACATCGCCATGACTAGCCAACTTGACACGTTCATCAAGGATATAAATAAAAGTCGGACTTGMTCTGTTGTTCAAGGATGTGAAGGTATAGTGGACATACTGTGTTTTTGCACGATTACTGATTTCGGATTCAAACTGTTGGTTTTGTTTTCCATGTTTTGTGTAATTTTTGTTTTTCATATTCCTCACGAAGCCATGGCCAGATGTTGTGTTAGGACTCCTATTTTTCTTGAGAATCTCAAAGGAATGAATAATTTATCTTGTTCTTTCAAATCCATTGAGTATTCTTTTACTGAAAATAGATCATTTTTTCACAATTTTTTGGAGTATATGAGTATACTGAAACAATACACTGTGCATGGTTTAGTGAGTTGTGGATATTTTACAAGTCAAAGATGCATTTTGATATAACTTATAATTGCTTCTGCATTGTTTTCAATATAAATAACCTATTCAAAACCATTGATATATTGTTATGACATCAAATACAACATTTGTAATGTCATTTGATAGCTGACACGTAAATGTATGCAAATTCACATGAAATATTTATAAATCMAAAATGATAATAATAAGTATTGGTAGCAAAACACCAWTGAAAAGTGCTCGATACACATGTGTAGAGTGGYATATAATTGTGGTGATTAGATAAAAAGGATTCGCTGCAASTCTGASGTTCGTGCTTGCGCACTCACCAGGCAGATATATAATCACAACAATAATTTATAAATCAAAAATGAAATATTGCAAAGTTGTCCTTCAGTAGCATGTTAGAAGTGATTAATTTATTGCAAAGTTGATATGGGCCTTACACTACTGTGAAAAATGAAATATTTATAAATCAGAAATGCTTTTGTTGATTTCAATGTTTCGTTTTCTAGGCAAACTTATACCTGTCAAACTAATTGAACGTGGTCTGGGAGGATCAATCAAAGTATTGCTAGCTTGCTCTGGCTGTGGCACTCATATAAACTATGCAAGCAGCGAAGCCTACATGCTTGCAAAACGAAGGAACTGTGTCTCCTTGGCTACGGCCTTATGCTTTTTAGTATATGGCCAAGGCTACCCAAATTACTACAAAATATTGAAGCTCGGGCTTGGGATTAATGTTCTAGCTAAAAGCAATTTTTACGATGTCATAGAAATGGCATATCNGAAAGAGAAGAGAGTGAAGGTAGTATTGAAATGAATGAAGAAGTAGAAAGAGAAGAGAGTGAAAGTAGTACTGAAGTGAATGCAGAGGTAGAAAGAGTAGAGAGTGAAGGTAGTATTGAGGTGAATGAARAGGTCWGTCATGATTGTGAAATTGATGCTAGTGTGCCAGATACCAGTAATGGTAACAAAGGCTGTAGTAGTGGTGGTGGTATAGGTGATGAACATGGTGATAGAGATGATGATGATAGTGATGACGATGATGATAGTGATGACGTTGGTGATAGTGATGAATGCATTAGTAGTGAAGAGAGTGATGACAGTGACGATGATAGTGAGGATTTCAAATGTAAAGGCCAGCCATATAAAACACGACTTGTGYTTACATGCCCACTTCATGCCTTGCTCTATGAAATAGAGTGCGACAGAGTTGCTAGCAAAGCAAGGGATGTGATCCATACAGAGATGGGACGGGGCCATTCTAACCTGCCCRAGAGCAAATTTCATGTACTAACAAGGTTTCGGCCGAAGAATATCAACCTGTGCCAGCTCCATTACGAGTTTTCAACAAATGTAGGGCTGTGTCAAAGCAATATGACATTTATKTATAAAGAACAAGGAAAGAACTACCACTGGATGAGAGAGCTTTTAGAAGGCATGGCTTTGCCCATTCCAGATGGAATTCAAGACATTTGGGAAAGAGAAAACGAGACAAGAATGAAAGCCCTCAGAAAACAACAAACGGACAAAGCAAAAACCGCCCGGGCCAAACGAAAACAAAAAAGACTCCAAGAAAGCAGAGAAAGGTAAAAAAATGTTTCAATTGAAAAGAATTGTATTATATTGTATAATAAATATACTTCATTCAAACAACAAAATTTTGGACCAAATCTGTTTCTTGTAGAGTGTGTGCATGAAAAATATTGTGTAAGTATAAAGAGGATCTGAAAGGAAAGAATTTTAAATCACACAATTTACTATAAGTTTACTAATTTGTTATGTAACTAATAAGGTTGGTCTTTATTGCAGGAGTAAGTTTGTCAGACGACAAAAGATAATCCATAGTTATGGTGATGGAAATGAAGACGACTTGGAGGAAGAGGAGGTTATACAAAAAGTCAGAGGAAGAAGAAATGTCCCGGTACAAGAAAACAATGCTGTAGTAGAACCACCAGATGGTGCTAGGGTAAACACTGGAGATAACCCTCCCATCAAAACCTGCAGATGTGGCAGCACAACCCATCTCAGAGTTTCAAATAAAGCTTGTAAATATTNGTGCATTTAATATACAAAATTGCCAGACCCCCTTATGCTAACAAATGAAAGCCCCATAAGCAACGAAAAGATAAATACAAAAGATACTAAACATTCCATAAGCGTTACAACGATACATTTTGCCTACATTGTATGTTTCACCGAATACTTATATATTTTACTTACCTTTCCGGCAAATTGGCCTATAGTCCTTTACTCCTTCCGGATACAACGTCCTTATGGCGGCCAGCACCTCTTTGGGATAACACAAAGCAGCGCCTGCGCCAATTTTGCGTTCTGTCTATGAATATAAACCATTTCCAATAATGTAATTTTGCGTTCTGTCTATGAATATAAACCATTTCCAATAATGTAATTTTTGCTTTTGCAGTTGAAGACAGTCGCTGAAAAACACTCACCGACAGAAAGTCGAATAACGTCTTGTAAATAAACTTTCTAGCGTCAGAGTCGCTAGGCGCAAACTCGTCGTCTTCATCACGCTCCCTAATTTCATCTTTTGCTTCTGAAAGCAATCTTTTAAGCTGTTCTGGCAGTTTTCGCCCTCTGCAATAAAGGAAATACAGATACATCAGCAATACTAAGGATCATTGAGACGAAAATAAATTCGTGTACTCACGTTGCTTGAATGCAAGCTTCCTCCAAATCGCACARTATTTCAGCTATATCTGTCGGAACAATATAAAACTTCCTGGTTAAGGCACTAATATACTAATTTTTAACAATAGGATAAAAGCAATACTTACTTGGTTTAGCTTCAGCCATGATAATAAATGTAGATTTAACGATGCARCAAAGTACGATCAATGCGAACACGTGTATGTTTGGYAGCTTCAGCAAGCAAGAGATTTAGTAACACGAAACCAAAAGGTCAAACCAATATGCCAGGAAATGAGACTCACGGCGCTTGCTCAGAAGGATTACATCGCGAG